AAAGAAAGAAAGAAAGAAAGAAAGAAAGAAAGAAAGAAAGAAAGAAAAAGAAAGAAAGAAAGAAAGAAAGAAAGAAAGAAAGAAAGAAAGAGAAAGAAAGGAAAGAAAGAAAGAAAATTAAAAAAGAATGGTTTCTATGTTTTATCTAGCTTTTCTAGGATTTTATAAAGGAAGCTTTTTCAGGGTATCTCGTTTGTTATATTTCCCAAAGTGAGCATATTTAACCCACTCTCATACAGCTTTTGCTCCCTCCACTTCACTAGAACTGTTCTTTGCAAGATCACTAACAGCCAAGTATATCACAATACCCAATGGACAGTTTCTGTCTGCATCTCATGTAAACTCAGTACAATTCAACCCACATGAGTATTCTCTGCTTCTTGAAATACTTTCCTCACTTGACTTCCATAATATCACATCCTTTTGATTATTCTTTCTTTTTCCTACTTTACGGGTCACTCTTTCTCTTTCTCCACTGCTATCTCCTACAATACCTGACCTACAATGCTGCTTCTTCCAAAATATAATTTACTTTTTATTTCACTACCCAGTAAAACTTCAGGATAGTGGCAGAAACACCTTCTGTGTGGATACCAAGTACACTCAAGTATATGCTTCAAAGGTACCATTGCCATGGAGGCAGTTTAGTAGCTGAAAAAATTAAAATATTTATCTCCAACAGTGGGAAAAATAGGCAAGAAATGTTTTATATGTTTTAAGTCTGTGAGGAAAAAGTGCTAATGATATGCAAATGTCTTCCTAGAGATCAGTATACTCATGATGAAGAAAATGCCTTTGATTGTAGGTACTATTAAGAAATCATTTAAACTTTGTGTGGCTTTTACACAATATCAGATAATTCATACTTTCAAAAAGGCTAGAGAAGAAGCCACAAAGTCAAACACTCATACAAAAAAAAGCGGATCTTAACAAAGTCCCCAGTCCAATACTCTGTTCAGACAGTTTGGTTTCTAACCCTTTGACTTCTCCACTCTGTGCACTAAATTCCTCTCTTTTTCACTAAAGGATAATTCCCTCTCCAGCTTTTGGGGCAAGCAGGACTGAAATGGGAAGCATTTCAGTATCTTACTGGTCTAACAGTCTTTTTATTCTAACTTCCTCTTTAAGAATTCTGTCGTCTAAAACCCCATGGTCTGATGATTCATTTACTCCTGCTAGGCACAGGCATTTCTCCCATTCTCTCCAGGAATCATTCTTCCACCTTTCTCACCTCCACTGTGACTCTGCATGGTAAGACTTTCCCTTACGCTCCATAAATTATCACTCACCAAAGACTGTACGGGCAGGAACAGACTCTCTGTTGAGCCAGAACGACACTTGTGACAGAATGACAGTCATGATACATGGCAAGTAGGTCTGGATCACAAAGTAGCCAATTTTTCGCTTGAGATGGAAGTGGGTTGTCATGACGACATATTCTCCTAGACAGAGAGTAAAATTAGGCAGTATGTAGCTACATAAACATTGTTAAATCAAGTTGGGCCCCAATTCAATCCACAAAACTCCTTAATCTTATATTCAAGACAGGGTATTCCAGCACCTCCCAAGTTCATATAACCAAAGCCCTTTAACAATCACAAAACAGTGTGTTTTTTTGTGTGTGTGTGAAAAAAACAATGCCATCAGCGTACCAATACAGCTTGCTCAGAACAATTTTGACACAATTCATTCAAGTAAATTAATGTTCTCATTTAAATAATAATAAAATAAAAATCTCTTCTACAGCACTTTCTATGTGATAGGCACTCATTTAGCACTTTAACATTATAAAATATTTAATCTTCACAAGAACCCTATGAGGTAGGTACTATTGTTATCCTCATTTTATAACTCAAGAAACTGAGGCAAGGAGAGATGGAGCAACTTGCATAAGGTTACACAGCTAGTAAGTAGTAAAGCCCAAAGTCAAGCCCAGGTAGGTTGTCCACAGTTCATGCTTTTTAACCATTATGCTCTGCTGTTCTAATGTACCTACTTGGTTAGACCCAAAAGTTCACATAGCAGAATGTGAACTGACCTACATTATCCCACTCCTAAAATAAGAGTGAGCGCTTACTGCATTTTTACTGTGTGCCAAAATATTTTTCTGAGTGTTTGTGGAGTGTTAACTTTATATCCTCCTAACAGCTCTGTGAGATAGGCACTAATAATTACCCCATGTTGTTAAATGCATTAGTCAATCCTCCCTCTTACTGGATTTTTCAGCAGCACTTTATGTAGTTGATCCTTCATCCCTCTTGTAATCACTCTCTTCACAGAACCTCTAGGCCATGATGCTTTTCTGGTTTCTCTCCTACTTCACAGACCATTCCTCCAAAGTCTCCTTTGCTGTTCCTTTTAATTTCTAAACACTGGAGGATGTCAAAGCTCTGTACTTGTACTTCTTTTTTCTGTCTCACTCAGACACTGGCCATTCTCATCCAGCCTGTCTTTAATACCTTAAACGCTAATAATTCCCCATTTATATCTTCTACCTGGGCTTCCTACTTGTTATGGGTTGAATTGTGTCCCCTAAAAAGATATACTGAAGCATTAGCCCCTGTTACCTCAGACTGTGGCCTTGTTTGGAAATAGTGTTATTGCAGATGTAGTTAGTTAAGATGAGGTCATGCAGCACTGGAGTAGGGTGGGCCCCTCATCCAACATGACTAGTGTCCTTAGAAGAGAGCACCATGTGAAAACACAGACACACAGGGGGAAGGATATGTAAAAAACAGGCAGAAATCCGGGAGCGGTGGCTCACATCTGTAATCCCAGCACTTTGGGAGACCGAGGTGGGCGGATTATGAGGTCAGGAGATCGAGACCATCCTGGCTAACATGGTGAAACACCGTCTCTATGAAAAATACAAAAAATTAGCCAGGTGTGGTGGCGGGTGCCTGTAGTCCCAGCTACTCGGGAGGCTGAGTCAGGAGAATGGTGTGAACCCAGGAGGCTGAGCTTGCAGTAAGCTGAGATCGGGCCACTGCACACCAGCCTGGGCAACAGAGCCAGACTCTGTCTCAAAAAAAAAAAAAAAAAAAAAAAAAGGCAGAGATTGGAGTGGTGCAGCTGCAAGCCAAGGAATGCCAGAGATTACAGCCACCACCAGAAACTAAGGAGAGGCAAGGGACAGATTTTCCCCCTCAGAATCTCTAGAAAGAACTAACTTTCCTGATGCTTTGATTTGAGACTTCTAGCCTTAGGAACTGTGAGACACATTTCTGGTAAGTTGCACAGTTTGTGGTACTTTATTATAGGAGCCTTAAGATTCTCTACTCAACTCTAAGATTTATATATTAGACATCACTACTTGGGGATCTAATAGGCATCCTGACTTAACATGAAAATCAAGATTTTGGTTTTCACTCTCCCCATCCCCCACACCAATTCAAAATGGCTCCCCCAAGAGACTTTCCATTGACTTCTCAACCCCACCGTGTTCTGTTGCTCTATCTTGCTCACTCTCCCTCCCTCCTTTCTCTCTCACACATTTACACACACACACACATAACACACACAAAAAATCAATCAATCAGCCAACTATTCCGGTTCTTTCTCCAAAATATTTCCATAATTTGACCACTTCTCACCACCTCTACTGCTACCACCCTGGTCTAAGCCACCATCATGTCTCACCTAGAGTACTGTAATAGCTTTCTAACTGGTCTCCTTGCTCTGTCCTTGACACTTCTTCAATGCATTCATAGTATACTTGCCAGAAATTATCTTATTAAAACGTAAGTCAGATCTTGTCTGTCTTCTGTTCAAGACTATCCAATGGTTTACCATCTCTCAAAGAGTAAAAGCCAGATTCTCCAAAATAGTCCTCAAAGACCCTTGCAATATGCCTGCTCTAATAGCACTCTTATCAGAGCTTCTTATTTTTCACCTCTCTTCCTTCACCCACATTTGGTTTTAGCAGGATTCCCGAAAGAGGCAATTTCCCACTTTTCTACTCTACCCACTCCCTTGTACTTAAACCTAGGAAGCACCACCCGGTCATCCAAGGCTCAATATACAACCCATATTGAATATGTATTCACATCTTAGCTTGTTTATGTGAACACAAAAAATACAAGTAGGCTTATTTTAAGTTTAGCAAATTAAAAATTACAACTTTGGGGTTCCCATCTCTTTTCTTTCTCTCTGCTTCTTTTTTCAATTCTTTTCTTTCTTTGTTTTATCTTCTGTCTGTGTCCATCTCTACTTCTTTCTGTCCTTTCCCTTTCCTTCACTCTCTCCCCGCTGAGAAGGCACTGGGGATTTGTTTTTCATGAGAGTTGGACTTTGATTAGCTTAGGTAATTCTCTTTCTTTTCCATCTTAGTCTCACATTTCCAAACCCTACCTATTAATCCTATCTCTGATCATGTGAAATATTTAATATATAAAAGACGTAATAAATATTCATAAATTAATTACATTCTGTGGTTCTAAAAGACAAAGCAAATGGACTTTTCAAAAGATTATAAAATTAACCACTTGTTTTGAATAACTGACTCAAAACAGTTGAACACATTGATTTTCCTCAATCCTCTCCTTTTCTATATTTATTTCTTTCTCATTATGTCTTGTTGTCTGTCTTCTGAAGAGGTGAAAGGAATTCTCTTTAGTAAGAACTGACACCTTTTACTAGGTTGCAAAGATTTCCCTTGTTTCTGTCCTTGTATTGCAGACTATCTGGGTCCAGTGTGAAATCGTCAAAGGGACAATGGAAAGACACCTTTATATATTAACAAGTATTCACAACTTAGATCATTTCTATGCGTGGAACTTACAAGTGGACTTTTAGAAAGCTTAGCAAATTAATTTATTATGTCAATTAACTTAATCAGTTTTCTTAAACACAACTCTGATATTTTCCATCTCTATACATCTTCTTCCCTGCCAAAGAGAGAACTGAAATTTTAATCAAACTGGAAGATTTCACAATTTCTTCCATCCCACCTCCACCCTTGTGACCCAGCTTATTAAGCTCATTAGATGCCATCTGTGTTGTGTATGTTGTATATGAAATATTCAAAGGTACAATATAAAACATACAATGCATATGTATTCACAAATTAGTTATTATCTATGTATCAGAAATGCCGCACAGTTTAGCTAAATAATGCTTTACGTAACTGACTATATTTTCCTGAAGTGGGTTTGTTAGATTCTCTCCCTCCTTTCCCCTATTGCTGTGTCTCTCTGTCTTTCTTATTATGAGGGATGACCCTTTAAGTGATTTGGGAGATTTTTCTCCTGCCTTTGCACTTCAGTCTATTAAATTCCATCTGTGTTAAATGTGAAATATTTCATAATAGAACATAAAACACATTTACAACGTAGCTAGTTTCTAAGGTTTTGAAACACACAAGAGGAATTTTTAGCTTGGCAAATTAACTCATCATAAAAAAGTAAGTGGATATATTTTCTTAAATCTATCTTAGGTATTTTTCCCACTCTCTATCTCTATTCCTTGTTCTTTATCTTGCCTCCTGTTTTCTTTTTATTTCCATCTCTCTGATTTTTCTTTATGTCCTGTTTTATGCATTATCTTTACTTACCTATGCTACACATCTAAAGAAATAATATATACAATGCCAATAATAATAAAAATGTCATTCTAACAAATGATCAAATTTCTAGGAAAGATGGATATATAAGGATCACACATCCAAACTATCATTTTAGAAAATTAATGTAATAATTCGCCAAATTAGGGAAAATAGGGGATGGTGTCAACAACTAGCCACAGACTTTGAGGAATTTCATTCATTTATTTAATACATGTTTGAATCTGGAGCAAAGAGCAGACAGCCTCTGCTTGAAGCTAGTTCATAGTGAGGACTGACAGCATTTGGAGAGAAAGCCAGCCATACCAATCAGAACATCCATGGATTGTGGGTCTGACCTTTCTCTGGCCTAGATTTCCATTCATATGCTAGACCCTACATGGAAGAGTGTATGCAGAATTTAGAAAGGAATGCCCATAATTTATGGTCACAATAAAAACAATACATATATATGTGAGGTAATAATATTTATATGGTTCCTAAATCAATAGGTATAAAAGTATGTGCAGCAAAATGTCTCCCTCCCAAATCTGCCCCCAAATTACCCATTTCACATCTCCTTCTTTTAGGTAACTATGATTAACAGCCTCTTGTGTATCTTCCTAGAAAGAGTATGGTGTGTGTGTGTGTGTGTGTGTGTGTGTACACAGTTTGAAAACATTTATCTACAGTAATTAAAATAATGTAATACATATAAAAATAGACAGAGAGACAACAATGAAAGAGAATAATAAATATAGACACAGATTTATGCATTTGTATGTGTATGTATGTGCACACATATGAATTTAGTATATGATAAAAGCAGCATCTCATTTCACTGAGGAAACACTGGATTATTCATTCATGGATACTGGTACATTTGGTTACCTCATAGTGCAA